TACGACGTTTTTACAGATAGTAGACGTGGAGGTCGTGTTATGTAAGTCACTTTCCAGGATGTAAGAGACAACTACGTATCACAGGATACGACGTTTGTACAGATAGTAGACATGGAGGTTGTGTTATGTAAGTCACTTCTCAGGATGTAAGTGACAACTACGTATCACAGGATACGACGTTTGTACAGATAGTAGACATGGAGGTCGTGTTATGTAAGTCACTTCCCAGGATGTAAGAGACAACTACGTATCACAGGATACGACGTTTGTACAGATAGTAGACATGGAGGTCGTGTTATGTAAGTCACTTCCCAGGATGTAAGAGACAACTACGTATCACAGGATACGACGTTTGTACAGATAGTAGACATGGAGGTCGTGTTATGTAAGTCACTTTCCAGGATGTAAGTGACAACTACGTATCACAGGATACGACATTTGTACAGATAGTAGACATGGAGGTCGTGTTATGTAAGTCACTTCCCAGGATGTAAGTGACAACTACGTATCACAGGATACGACGTTTGTACAGATAGTAGACATGGAGGTCGTGTTATGTAAGTCACTTCCCAGCATGTAAGTGAAAACTACGTATCACAGGATACGACGTTTGTATAGATAGTAGACATGGAGGTCGTGTTATGTAAGTCACTTCCCAGGATGTAAGAGACAACTACGTATCACAGGATACGACGTTTGTACAGATAGTAGACATGGAGGTCGTGTTATGTAAGTCACTTCCCAGCATGTAAGTGAAAACTACGTATCACAGGATACGACGTTTTTACAGATAGTAGACGTGGAGGTCGTGTTATGTAAGTCACTTTCCAGGATGTAAGAGACAACTACGTATCACAGGATACGACGTTTGTACAGATAGTAGACATGGAGGTTGTGTTATGTAAGTCACTTCTCAGGATGTAAGTGACAACTACGTATCACAGGATACGACGTTTGTACAGATAGTAGACATGGAGGTCGTGTTATGTAAGTCACTTCCCAGGATGTAAGAGACAACTACGTATCACAGGATACGACGTTTGTACAGATAGTAGACATGGAGGTCGTGTTATGTAAGTCACTTCCCAGCATGTAAGTGAAAACTACGTATCACAGGATACGACGTTTTTACAGATAGTAGACGTGGAGGTCGTGTTATGTAAGTCACTTTCCAGGATGTAAGAGACAACTACGTATCACAGGATACGACGTTTGTACAGATAGTAGACATGGAGGTTGTGTTATGTAAGTCACTTCTCAGGATGTAAGTGACAACTACGTATCACAGGATACGACGTTTGTACAGATAGTAGACATGGAGGTCGTGTTATGTAAGTCACTTCCCAGGATGTAAGAGACAACTACGTATCACAGGATACGACGTTTGTACAGATAGTAGACATGGAGGTCGTGTTATGTAAGTCACTTCCCAGGATTTAAGAGACAACTACGTATCACAGGATACGACGTTTGTACAGATAGTAGACATGGAGGTCGTGTTATGTAAGTCACTTCCCAGGATGTAAGAGACAACTACGTATCACAGGATACGACGTTTGTACAGATAGTAGACATGGAGGTCGTGTTATGTAAGTCACTTTCCAGGATGTAAGTGACAACTACGTATCACAGGATACGACATTTGTACAGATAGTAGACATGGAGGTCGTGTTATGTAAGTCACTTCCCAGGATGTAAGTGACAACTACGTATCACAGGATACGACGTTTGTACAGATAGTAGACATGGAGGTCGTGTTATGTAAGTCACTTCCCAGCATGTAAGTGAAAACTACGTATCACAGGATACGACGTTTGTACAGATAGTAGACATGGAGGTCGTGTTATGTAAGTCACTTCCCAGGATGTAAGAGACAACTACGTATCACAGGATACGACGTTTGTACAGATAGTAGACATGGAGGTCGTGTTATGTAAGTCACTTCCCAGGATGTAAGTGACAACTACGTATCACAGGATACGACGTTTGTACAGATAGTAGACATGGAGGTCGTGTTATGTAAGTCACTTCCCAGGATGTAAGAGACAACTACGTATCACAGGATACGACGTTTGTACAGATAGTAGACATGGAGGTCGTGTTATGTAAGTCACTTCCCAGGATGTAAGTGACAACTACGTATCAGAGGATACGACGTTTGTACAGATAGTAGACATGGAGGTCGTGTTATGTAAGTCACTTCCCAGGATGTAAGAGACAACTACGTATCACAGGATACGACGTTTGTACAGATAGTAGACATGGAGGTCGTGTTATGTAAGTCACTTCCCAGGATGTAATTGACAACTACGTATCACAGGATACGACGTTTGTACAGATAGTAGACATGGAGGTCGTGTTATGTAAGTCACTTCCCAGGATGTAAGTGACAACTGCGTATCACAGGATACGACATTTGTACAGATAGTAGACATGGAGGTCGTGTTATGTAAGTCACTTCCCAGGATGTAATTGACAACTACGTATCACAGGATACGACGTTTGTACAGATAGTAGACATGGAGGTCGTGTTATGTAAGTCACTTCCCAGGATGTAATTGACAACTACGTATCACAGGATACGACGTTTGTACAGATAGTAGACATGGAGGTCATGTTATGTAAGTCACTTCCCAGGATGTAAGTGACAACTGCGTATCACAGGATACGACGTTTGTACAGATAGTAAACATGGAGGTCGTGTTATGTAAGTCACTTCCCAGGATGTAAGTGACAACTACGTATCACAGGATACGACGTTTGTACAGATAGTAGACATGGAGGTCGTGTTATGTAAGTCACTTCCCAGGATGTAAGTGACAACTACGTATCACAGGATACGACGTTTGTACAGATAGTAGACATGGAGGTCGTGTTATGTAAGTCACTTCCCAGGATGTAAGAGACAACTACGTATCACAGGATACGACATTTGTACAGATAGTAGACATGGAGGTCGTGTTATGTAAGTCACTTCCCAGGATGTAAGAGACAACTACGTATCACAGGATACGACGTTTGTACAGATAGTAGACGTGGAGGTCGTGTTATGTAAGTCACTTCCCAGGATGTAAGAGACAACTACGTATCACAGGATACGACGTTTGTACAGATAGTAGACATGGAGGTCGTGTTATGTAAGTCACTTTCCAGGATGTAAGAGACAACTACGTATCACAGGATACGACGTTTGTACAGATAGTAGACATGGAGGTCGTGTTATGTAAGTCACTTCCCAGGATGTAATTGACAACTACGTATCACAGGATACGACGTTTGTACAGATAGTAGACATGGAGGTCGTGTTATGTAAGTCACTTCCCAGGATGTAAGAGACAACTACGTATCACAGGATACGACGTTTGTACAGATAGTAGACATGGAGGTCGTGTTATGTAAGCCACTTCCCAGGATGTAATTGACAACTACGTATCACAGGATACGACGTTTGTACAGATAGTAGACATGGAGGTCGTGTTATGTAAGTCACTTCCCAGGATGTAAGTGACAACTACGTATCACAGGATACGACGTTTGTACAGGTAGTAGACATGGAGGTAGTGTTATGTAAGCCACTTCCCAGGATGTAAGTGACAACTGCGTATCACAGGATACGACGTTTGTACAGATAGTAGACATGGAGGTCGTGTTATGTAAGTCACTTTCCAGGATGTAAGTGACAACTACGTATCACAGGATACGACATTTGTACAGATAGTAGACATGGAGGTCGTGTTATGTAAGTCACTTCCCAGGATGTAAGTGACAACTACGTATCACAGGATACGACGTTTGTACAGATAGTAGACATGGAGCTCTAGTTATACACTCTATTTTAACCATAAAGATTACAATAATGCAGCACTCTCTACGTAATCTCATTCTAAAATCATTAATAAATAAATCATATCGAATTTTTTTCATTCTTTGCAGCATATTTTTGCTAAATGAAAAAATCGCCTTCTGGGATATTATCCTTTCTGAACATTTTCAGTGTGACACAGACTGTACCTGACCAAATCATCAATTTGGTAAAATATATTGCTAATTGCTGACAGCCCGTTTTTCTCAAATGTCTTGAAGCAAATAGTTATGGAATTATTTTACATATTAAACAAACTTCTACTGTCCTTACTGCGATGAAAAAATATTGAGAGGACTTAGCTTAGTAGTGGTGAACTCTCCCAGCAATTTCGCCAATTTAATTTACCAGACCGCTTATTAGAGCTTTAATACAGTAAAACTTGGATAATTCAAATGTCTTTAATTCCAATATTTATCTTAGTCACAAGAATTTCCGTTTTTAATCAGAATTTCTAGATAATTTGATTTTTTTTTTTGGTCGTTTGGGCTTCGAATTTTCCATGTTTATTTATTTATTTCAACACACAAAACGCGAAATCCCGGCCAGGGATAATTGCGTCAATTTACATAAAAAAAAAACACACACACACAAACAGTTATAAACATTTTATACAAAAAAAGTAATAAAAAATAAAAAAAGAGAAATAATATATATTAGGAACCTGAACTTTTCAGGTTAGAAAGACATGTTCGAATGTATATCTTTTTTAAATTAGATTTCAAAAAACGGAGGATCTAGAACTCAAGAGGGAGAGAGAAACAAAATAAAATAATTCAATTAACACTAGACGTGTCAAGTTCTATGCTTTAAAAAAAAATCTCCTCACATCACACACTCATTATATTATGATGTATAGCGCGCCATCTGTTATCAAAATTCGAAACTATTATAGACGCGCATGATTATTTTGAAAATTAAACAATTTCTACTGTCCTTACTGCAATGGAAAAATTAATGGGAGGGCCTGGCTCATTAGTGGTGAACCCTCTCAGCGATTTCGCCAGTTTAATCTACCATACCGCTGTTATATTGCATTTTTTGAACTTCCTTTTATAGTGATACTGATGCTTGACTCTTGGAATGGGTATTTTAGATGAACTATGTACATAAGCTTTGAGGACAGTAGAATCACATGTCCAGGATAGCTTAGTGGACATGGCATCTGCCCGGTAAGCGGAACACTGTGGGTTCGACTCCCATTCCTGGGCATTTTTATTTATTTTTACATATAATTATTAATATACACCTATCCCCCGATTTATACGGTACTTGTTTTACACGTTTTCGCTTTTACACGGTTTTCCAAATAAGTTTTTTTTTTTGTTGTTTTTATCGCACTATACTAAATGCTACTGTGATTGAACACATGAGCTGTGTACACATCTCACGAGGAATCCCGAGCTTATGTGCTGACTACATATTTTAACCTGTCAATGCATTTTTTTTTTCTGTGTACACCTATACCCCGATTTACACGTTTTTCTCAGGAACGTATCTACCGTGTAAATCGGGGGATAGGTGTATAATATGATTCGAATATTCATACACTCATTATACCAATTTATTCCTTCTGCGTTACTCCATTCGCTTTTTGCCACTACTATATGTCACAAGGGGGTTGGTGGAAATATGATCTAAACCGTTGGTTTTCGACCGCTATAAACCGAGATCAAAAATCGCATCGGGCACTTTTTTCTAATAAAAAAAAAATGTTCCAAAGGCCTCCGATTCTTGCAAAAGTCCAATCCCACCAGAGAGTGCAAGACTAAACGGGACTCTAGCACATTTATAAGTGCAAAGTTGGACTGCTTTTCACATATGTAGACATGTGGTGTACTTACAGTAAAATCAATCGCCAACTATTATCCACCATTATTATCATGGCCTGTATCACGTGTACTAGGGATAATTATTAAAAAGAAAAAAAAAACTATACGTCACCGTTTTACTAAGCCAAAAAAAAAAAAAACGCAGTCGACAGGATTCGAACCTGTGCGGGAAGATCCCAATAGATTTCTAGTCTATCGCCTTAACCACTCGGCCACGACTGCTTGCTTATTCTTTACCTACCCGTATTCAACAACAATGAATTTCTGAGGATATTGAGGTGTAAACACTTTTTTTGATATACAAAGTTTGTCTGAAAACTTTATCTTTAACAATTTTTAAAGAGTAGAGTCATTTATATAGGATATAGATTTTAGAGAGTTTTTTTCTAACTGAGGTGTACAAACTTTTTTGGTGTACAAAATTCTGCAGGTCATCAATTCAACCTACAAGATGTCACATAACATATTCTCCAAATACAATAGACTCATTCTAGAATCCTTAATCTCCAAAGACAATAACAGCATAAACAGAAGATCTACCCCAACAGTTCCAGCATATTCAACACAGACAATCCAACCCCCATTGAAACTGTACCCTCTACAACTGGAAACTATTTTTATTTTTGATTTTTTGAAAATGTATTTCTGTGAATCTCTATTGTATGTGTGTTGCACGCCTTTGCGGAGACAGTGGCCTGATGAAGCGTGAAAACTTGTCTCCCAATTTCTGAACAAAGAAACTCTGCAAATATTTTCATATTTATTTTATTCCAGTACCAAGTTTTGTCTGAAGACTTGCTCTTTATAACATTTGTCTTCTTCTTCTTTCTTATCTCCACATTGGGTGAAGTAGAATGCGTCTGGCTTTGTCATTAAGACTGGGATCACTACTCAGTAGCAGGCCAACTTAGCTCCAGAAGAAATAGCCGCCTCTGACATGAGGAACAGACCATGTGCAGCCGCTCCTGACATGGAGTACAAACGCTGATCATCCTGTATACCTGGATTAGGAGCCCTTACAGGGTACTATCATCATGGCCAGCTGAGCCCAAGTTTTTTAGTGAGCTTGTTACTGCTCCCCCTCCTCCTTTTTCATCCGGGCTTGGGACCGGCAAAGGCGGAGTTATAACATTTGTTAAAGAATAGATTAATTTCTATAGGATATAGGTTTTAGAAAGGTTGGAAACTGTGAACTTCATAACCCCTACGTTATTTATTTCTATGTTCGAAATATTGTGTTAAGATTATACATATATTCTTACAGTAACATGAACAAGTATCACGAAAGCTACAAGTATTAGATTTGTTCAAAACCGTTGAAAAAGACTCTTAATCCGCTACTTATTTCACCCTCGTGTATCATTCCCTTTATGTAAACCCTACATGCCAGTCTCTTCATGGCTAAAAGGTAACAAGACAAAATCCATGTACATAAATAGTGTGTGATTTGGATTTAGTCTTAATACCTTTTGTTTCTCATCTATAAACCAAATTCTACCTAAATAATAAATTGTGTATCATTCGCTTTATGTGAACCCTACACGCCAGTCTCCTTACGTCTAAAAGACCAAATACATAAATAGCGTGTGAATTATATTTAGTCATATTACCTTTTGTTTCTAATATATAAACCAAATTGTACTTAAATAGCAATTTAATTTTACCGCGTGCACCATTCGCCTTATGTGAACCCTACACGCCAGTGTCTCCTTACGTCTAAAATACAATAATACCAAATTCAAATACATAAATGATGTGTAAATTAGATTTGGCCATATTACCGTTTGTTTATAATCAATAATCCAAATTGTAGCTAAATAACAATTTATTTCTACTGCGCGTATCATTCACTTTGTGTGTATTATACACGCCAGTCTCCTTACGTCTAAAATACAATAATACCAAATACAAATACATAAATGATGTATAAATTAGATTTGGTCTTATTACCTTTTGTTTCTATAATCCAAATTGTACCTAAATAACAATTTATTTCTACTGCGTGTATCATTCACATTATGTGAACCCTACATGCCAGTCTCCTCGCGTCTAAAAGCTCGTTCCAAAATCACTTTATTAGGTATCGCTCAAAAAGAGCAACCTAGTTTATGATATTTGCAACAATGAATAATATGTGAAGGCTATTCACATATTAAATAAAATGTTAATGCGGGATTTCTTCCCGGTTCATGGCTGTCGTGAATCGAGGGTGTTACCTACTCGTCCACCGACTTTTTATTGCGTCTAAAAGAAAATAAGACCAAATCTACGAGTATAGTGTGTAAATTGGATTTGTTCTTATTGCCTTTTGTATCTAATCTATAATCCAAATTGTACCTAAATAACAATTTTTTTTCTACCGGTGGAATCATTCGCTTTATGTGAACCCTACATGCCAATCTCCTTACGTCTAAAAGGTAATAAAACCAAATACATAAACGATGTGTAAATTAGATTTGGTTTATTACCCTTTGCTTCTAATGTATAATACAAATTGTACCTAAATAACAATTTGTTTCTACTGCGTACATCAATAACTTTGTGTGAACCCTACATGCCAATCTCCTTACGTCTAAAAGGTAATAAAACCAAATACATAAACGATGTGTAAATTAGATTTGGTTTATTACCCTTTGCTTCTAATGTATAATACAAATTGTACCTAAATAACAATTTGTTTCTACTGCATACATCAATAACTTTATGTGAACCCTACACGCCAATCTCCTTACGTCTAAAAGGTAATAAAACCAAATACATAAACGATGTGTAAATTAGATTTGGTTTATTACCCTTTGCTTCTAATGTATAATACAAATTGTACCTAAATAACAATTTGTTTCTACTGCGTACATCAATAACTTTATGTGAACCCTACACGCCAATCTCCTTACGTCTAAAAGGTAATAAAACCAAATACATAAACGATGTGTAAATTAGATTTGGTTTATTACCCTTTGCTTCTAATGTATAATACAAATTGTACCTAAATAACAATTTGTTTCTACTGCGTACATCATTCACTTTGTGTGAACCCTACACGCCAGTCTTCTCACGTCCAAAAGGCAATAAGACCAAATACAAATACATAAATGATGTTTTGAAAATAGAGCAATCCATAAATATATCTTTAATTAAGTTATTGTAAGTAATTGTTATAACACCTTGATAAAGGTTGGCGTTCAGCCTACTGAAATATTGGTAAAATAAATAATATTTTGATCCAATATATGCCTTTTTATAAAATAAAAGGATTTAAAAGCGCGAATGTTTCTTTCATACATAAAACGAACTTCTACTGTCCTTACTGCGATGAAAAAATATATTGGGAGGGCTTGGCTCATCAGTGGTGAACCCTCCCAGCGGTTTCGCCAATTTAATCCACCAGACCGCTTCTCAGAGCTCTAATACTGTATTGGATCATTTTGCTTTTATACACTGCCTTGTCTTTATAGTTTGCTGAAGAGCATTGCTCGAAGCAAATATTTGAATATAATTCTACTGTCCTATAAGCTTATGTCCATAGTTTACTTGAAAACTATTTCTAAGATTCCATCCTTCAGTGTAGCATATAAAAGCAGAATGATCCAATACAATATTAGAGCTCTGAGAAGCGGTCTGGTGGATTAAATTGGCGAAACCGCTGGGAGGGTTCACCACTGATGAGCCAAGCCCTCCCAATATATTTTTTCATCGCAGTAAGGACAGTAGAAGTTCGTTTTATGTATGAAAGAAACATCCGTGCTTTTAAATCCTTTTATTTTATTTGTATAGATGGCGCGTTATTGCTTTGTGTGAATATGCCTTTTTAATTAAAGATAAATGATGTGTGGATTAGATTTGGTTTATTTCATTTTGTTTCTAATCTATAATCCAAATTATACCTACTAGGGATAATATTATAAAAAAAAAAACTATACGTCACCGTTTTACTAAGCCAAAAAAAAAAAAAAAACGCAGTCGACAGGATTCGAACCTGTGCGGGAAGATCCCAATAGATTTCTAGTCTATCGCCTTAACCACTCGGCCACGACTGCTTAAACCTTATATGCCTACCCTTATTAAAAAACAATGTTTTACCGGGGAAACTGAGGTGTAAAAACTTTTTTTAGTGTACAAAAGTTTGCCCGAAAACTTTCTCTTTAACAATTTTTAAGGAGTAGAGTCATTTATATAGGATATAGGTTATAGAGAGGTTTTCTAACTGAGGTGTTCAAACTTTTTTATTGTACAAAATTCTGCAGGTCATCAATTCAACCTACAAGATGTCACTTCCATAACATATTCTCCAAATTCAATAGACTCATTATAGAATCTTTAATCTCCAAAGACAACAACAGTATAAACAGAAGATCTACCCCAACAGTTCCAACATATTCAA